ACAATTAAATTTGCTGTTGTAAGAAGAAATCATGGAAGAAGCGAATTCGCAATTTTCACAAAATTCAATTAAAACTTGCCTGACAGTTGTCCAATATTGTTGTTCGTGTTTTTTGCTTTGCTGGCTGTCAACGCTTGCTTTTGCTGTTGTCAGGTCGGTTTGTGCTTTTGGTAATCGTTGCTGTTGGGTTTGTGTGTCTCGCTGCTGTTTGTTCAACCGAAATCTGCAGCTAGATTTCTTGTCGTGTGATTGTTGTTGTTGTTTGGGTGTTGCTTAGCTGTCAGTGGCGTACATAGCAGAAAAGCTCGCCAAAACACAGTTGGTTTTAAAAAATAGTAGTAATTAATATTATTATAAAGCAAGTAATGCGTTTCTTAGGTGAAAGCAGCCTAAATGTAGGCACTAATTTTCCAAAAAAAAAAAAACAATAATGGAAAACTTTGCATGTTTTTTTGTGTTATACAGTATCTAGTTTTCTGCCCTTTTTATGCTGAAATCAATTCAGTGCGTGCAATGTACTTTACAACAAATTTTTTTAATTTTAAACTAGTTTCCGATTAGTGTTAAGGTAGTTGGTCGCAAAATTAGTTACTTTCAGTATAATAATTAGCAACAATTTTTAAATTTTTTTTGCTTTCTAACCTATTATTAGAACAAAATTTTTTTTTTATACTGAACTTGTTACCTTATGACTAGGTAATTGGTTCCAAAACTAGTTATTTCCAGTATATTGAATATCAACAATTTGTATATTTTGCTGTTTTCAAAGTTTATTATACCGCTTTTTAACACGCTGTCGTTGCCTAGCGCCACTGTGTTGCCTCGTTGTATTATAACCCTTTTTTCGCTCTTGGACGTTGGTTTTTGCTAACTTTCCTACAATTCTGCTACTTCAGCTGCTTTAATTGTTTTCCCAGTGTTATTTGCTTAAGCAATTGTCTTTCAAATGTCGGCTGCAGCAAGCCACTGCAGCAACAACAGCAATGCCAGCAACAAAGAAAGGCGTGCGTGCGAAGCAGTTGGCAGTTGAACGAACGATTTCGAATTTTCTCAAACAAATTGTCATTGTTTTCGGCAGGCAGACATTCGCATTTTGTTGTTTGTGTATGCGTTCGTTCATATGTATGTGTTTGTGTGCGCCTAGTGTCACCAATGTTACATGCTATCCGAACTGCCACTTTATGTGGGCTTTGACTTTGCGTTGTCGTTACTTTCCAATACTTTTCTGCGCGCCTTAACGTCATCTCCCTCTTCGTGCACTTCCTCATCGCCTTCGTTGCCATTGCTAGCCAGCCGCTGCTGCTACTTGTTGTGTAATTTCATTTAGGCGAACGATTGCAAATTGAAATTTATGATTTAATTCAATTATGAAAATTTTGTCAGCAACAGTGCTGGCGTGGTTGAGAGAGAGCGAGAGCACAATAGCTGAGCGAAAGGCTGTGAAAATGGCAGATGTCGGCGCTTAAAGGCTAGACCGGCTCGACAGAGCCTAAAATATCCCCTTGGGAGGCAAAAGTTCTTAACACAAAATTGGAGCTGACTTTGTGTTTCTTCATGTGTGTGTGTGTGTGTGTGTGTGTGTGCTCGATGCTGTAGGCTGACCTAGTAATTTGTTGTTGTTCTAGGCGTTTGTGTTGTTATTGCTGCAGCCTTTGAAAGTTTAGTGCTGTTTTGCAACACTTTGCCGTTAAATTTTTAAACGAATTTAATTATAGCAACAAAATTTAAGAACTTATTGACGTTCATGTTTAATATTTTATTGCTTGCCACACCGCTGGTGGCACTAATTGTGTGCTTTATGAACAAAAAAGTTTAGATTTTGGGTTTTAGACTTCAAATGACATAAAATAGAAAATGTATATAAAATATAGTGTTTATTTAATTTTTATTTTTATGTTTATTCATTTATTTTTTTTTAATCATTATCTGT